GAGGAGGCGGAGGAGGAGGAGGAGGAGGAGGAGGAGGAGCAGGGGGCCGCGGAGGAGGAGGGAGGAGGTGTTTGAGGAGGAGGAGGAGGATGAGGATGAGGAGGAGGAGGAGGAGGAGGAGGAGGAGGAACGGCTGAGGATGAGGACGAGGATGAGAGGGATGAGGAGGATGTGTATGATGATGTTGATGATGATGATGATGATGATGATGATGATGATGGCGATGATACTGCTGATGATGATGAGGAGGATAAGGAAGATGAGGAGGTTGACGATGATGATGCTGATGCTGATGATGATTGTGATGCTGCTGATGATGATGCTGATCATGATTATGATGATGACGATGATGATGATGTTGATGATCATGATGCTGATTCCGATGTTGATGATGGGGGTGATGCTGTTGACGCTGATGAAGATGATGCTGACGATGATGAGGCTGTTGACGGCGACGTCGATGCTGCTGCTGAGGATGATTATGATGATACGGATGCTGCTGATGATGCTGCTGCTTCTGCTTATGATAATGATGATGATGATGATGATGATGATGATGATGATGATGATGATGATGATGATGATGATGATGATGATGATGATGATGATGATGATGATGATGATGATGATGATGATGATGATGATGATGATGATGATGATGATGATGATGATGATGATGATGATGATGATGATGATGATGATGCTGATGATGATGAGGATGATGATGATGATGATGATGATGATGATGATGATGATGCGGCTGATGATGATGATGATGATGATGATGATGATGCTGATGCTCATTCTGATGATGCTGATGCTGCTGATGATGATGTTGACGATGCTGCTTCGTTTCCTGCTGATGATGTCGATGGGATGATGCTGATTGTGATCATACTGATGTTGCATATAGTAATGGCGATGATGACGATAAGGATGCTGACGATGCTGATGCTGCTGATGATGATGCTGCTGACGATGCTGCTGTTGCCGATGGTAAATAAGGCTACGATGATGCTGATGCTGATGATGCTCATCATGTCCATGCCGCTGATCGTCATGCTGATGCTGACGATCAGAATGTTGCTGATGATCATGATGCCGATGTTGCTGATGATGCTGATGATGACGCTGCTGCTGCTGATGATGATACTGATGGTGATGACAACGATGATGACGATAGTGATGCTGATGACGATGATGATGCTGCTGATGATGATGTTAATGCTGATGCTGCCTCTGATGATGCTGATGGTGATGACGATGATGCTGCTGAGGCTGATGCTAATGCTGATGCTGATGCTTGATGGCATGATGATGATGATGATGGATGATGATGATGATGATGATGATGATGATGATGATGATGATGATGATGATGATGATGATGATACTGATGATGATGATGATGATGCTGCTGATGATGCTGTTGATGGTGATGATGCTAATGATGCTGATGATGCTGGTAATTACAATGATGATGCTGACGATGATGACGATGATGATGGTGATGGTGATGATGATGCGGATGATGATGGTGATGGTGATGGTGATGGTGATGGTGATGGTTGTGGTGATGCTGATGCTGTTGATGATGCTGATGATGCTGATGCTGATGCTGACATTGATGATGCTGATGCTGCTGATGATGATGACGATGATGATGAGCTGATGATGACGATGAGGATGCTGATGCTGCTGCTGCTGACAATGATGATTATGATGCTGCTGCTGATGATGAGGATGCTGCTGATGCTGATGATGATGAATATGATGATGATGCTGCTGCTGATGCTGATGCTGATGATCATTATGCTGCTGATGTTGATGATGATGATGTTGATGATGATCTTGATTTTGATGTTGATGATGATGCTGATGATGGTGATGATGGTGATGATGCTGCTGATGATGACGGTGATGATTATGCTGCTGATGATGATGATCATGATCATGATGATGATTATGAGGATGATGATGATGATGATGATGATGATGATGATGATGATGATGATGATGAGGATGAGGATGCTGACGACGACGATGACGATGATGATGATGCTGCTGATGATGACGCTGATGATGATGATGATGATGATGATGATGATGATGACGATGACGATGACGATGATGATGATGATTATGATGATGATGATGATGATGATGATGATGATGATGATGATGATGATGATGATGATGATGATGCTGATGCTGATGCTGATGATGATGATTGATGATGATGATGATGATGATGATGATGATGATGATGATGATGATGATGATGATGATGATGATGATGATGATGGATGATGATGGTGATGATGATGATGTATGATGATGATGATGTGCTCTGGATGGTGATGATGAGGAGGAGGAGGAGCAGGAGAGGAAGAGGAGGAGGAGAAGGAGAGGAGGAGAGAAGGACGAGGAGGCGGAGGAGGAGGAGGAGGAGGAGGAGGAGGAGGAGGAGGAGGAGGAGGGAGGAGGGGAGGAGGAGGGCGGAGGAGAGAGGAGGGGGGGGGCGGAGGGAGGGCGGAGGAGGGATGAGGGAGGAGGAGGTGCGGAGGAGGAACAGGCGGAGGAGGAGGGCTGGGAGGAGGAGGGCGGAGGAAGGAGGAGGAGGAGGAGGGGGAGGAGGAGGAGAGGAGGAGGGGAGGATGAGGAGGAGGAGAGGAGGAGGAGGAGGGGAGGGGGGGGGGAGGAAGAGGAGGAGGAGGAGGAGGAGGAGGAGGAGGAGGAGGAGGAGAGAGGGAGGAGGAGGAGGAGGGGAGGAGGAGGAGGAGGAGGAGGAGGAGGAGAGGAGGAGAGAGGGAGGAGGAGGAGGAGGAGGAGGAGGAGGAGGCGGAGGAGAAGAGGAGGAGGGCAGGAGGAGGAGGAGGAGGAGGAGGAGGAGGAGGGAGGAGGAGGAGGGAGGGGGGGAGGAGGAGGAGGAGGTGGAGAGGCGGAGAAGGAGGAGGAGGAGGTGGAGGAGGAGGAGAAGGAGGAGGAGGGGGAGGAGGAGGAGAGGGAGTTGGAAGGAGGAGGGAGGGATGGGAGGGGAAGGGAGGGGAGGGGGACGGGAGAGGTGGGGGTGGGGGGAGGGGAGGGCAGGGGAGGGAAGGGGAGGGAAGGGGAGGGGAGGGAGGGAGGGAGGGTGGAAGAGGAGGATGAGCGAGGAGGGAGGAGGGAGAAAGAAGGGAGGAGGGACATGCCTCCGGGGTCCAGATCGCGCGGGACATATAGCCCGGCAGCGCAGCGGTGGTCGCGGGATTGACGTAGTCCTTCATGGACGCGAGCATGGAACCGCGGCCCTGCGAGGGCGGCGTCGGCCTCCGGCTCGCGAGGTGCTCCGTGCTGCCATCCGCCACGAGGCCGGCTGGGTCCCAGTTCCTCGCGCCCTCCTGGCGCACCTCGGCCGGTGACGACCTCGCAGCTGGTAGCGGGGTAGGGCGAGTAGGCAGCCGCGCCGCCTCCACCTGGCACCGAGAGGGGACGCTGGGGGGGAGGGGCCTGCCCATCTCCGCTCTCGCAGCTGGACGCAGGGTGGGGCCCGTAGGCTGCCTCGCCGCCTCCCCCGGGCCCCGACGGGACGCTGGGGGGGAGGGGCTTGCCCGCCTCCGCCGTGCGGCCATCCCGCCCAGCGGCCTCAGCCAGCACTGGCAGCGGCATCACGGTCTAGCACCACGCGCTGCCAATAACGGCGTAAGGCAGCCCCGCGGTCTGGCATGGGGAGCAAAATCGCCGCCGCCGTCAGCTTGCCCCCTGTCACGAGCAGCGCGCCGGCATCGGAGACCACGGCGTAGCAGTCCATGGCAGCCGGAAGGTCCTCCGGCGCGGGGCAAGTCCGCATCTGCACCCTCTGCATCGCCATCGGCCGAAGGAGAGCAGACGTAGCCGGAGCAGCCTCAGTAGGATCCTGGGGCCGCCGCTGCTCAGCAGTCATGCCGAGCTCCACTGCGGCCGCGGTGCTCAGGGAGGAGTCGGAGTCGGCGCTGGCGTGGTCGTCGGCGCTACTGTGGTGCTCGCTCGCTCTGCAACTCCACGCCGGTGATCAGGTCAGCCAGCAGCGCCTCGGGAGGATCAGCACTGGCTGGACGTGCAGCAAGGCGCGCACGAGGCAGAGCATGATCTGCATCATCACTAGCAGGAACACGTACGGCAGGGACGGCACGAGGGAGAGCACGAGTGCGAGCAGCACCGTCGGCTGCAGCCTGGCGCTCCTCTGCGGTCAGGCGTGCTGTGTCAGTCTCGCGCCCAGCCACTGCTAAGCGCCCGGCCCCGGCCTGTCGCGAAGCGCCGGCGCGGCGCCTCGGCCAAGCAGCGCGGTATGGTGTCACCGGGCACGTTGTCACCAGGGGGCCGGCAGTGGCAGCGGCTCGCGACCGCGCCGCCAGAGAAAAAAACTAAGCGGCTGGATCGCGATCGCAAGCCAACCAGCCTCGGCGACCACCACGGCGCAGCTGGTCGTCTCGGCGCCCAAGCCAGCCAGACCTGGCGCAGGGCTGGCAGGCGGCAGCGGCGGCACCCGTACATCCACAGCCTCCGGCGCCTCCGCGTGCGCCACGAGCTCCGGCAGCAGGATGTCCACGGGCGACACGACGAGGCCTGGGGGGTGCCACACCCCATCAGGTTGCGCACGTCCGTCGCCTGCACCTGCGCATGCTGGATGGCGACCCTGCGCGTCCGGAGGCGACGTCTGCCCGCAGCGGAGGCCGCACCAGCTGGGCGGCACAACGTGGGGCAGGACATCAGCAGGTAGCCAGCGAGCGGCGGCGCGGCGGGGCCCTCGCGCCCGATGCGCGGGCGCGGGCCGGCTCGCGTGGCTGCCCGCCCCGAAAGAGGTTCTCCGTACCTGGAACGGCGCCCGAAACCTCTCCAACCGGGGCGGCAGCTGGAGGGAGGGAGGGAGGGAGGGGCAGGAGGGAGCGAGCAATGGAGCAATGGAGTGGAAGGATGGCCAGCGCCAGGGCCCAGGGCGCGCTTGCGCGCGCGGCCGATGCTCCTCCCGCCCCCTTGGCCAGGAGGATCTACGCGAAGCCCTCCGCCTCCGGGCGGCGCGTGGGCCTCACCGGGAGGAGAGGTGCCTGGCGGCCTCGTGGGCTCCCGAGTGCTCCTTCCTGACGAAGGCTTGTGGGGTCGCCAAGCTCCGTGCACCTCCCCCTGCGTCCCAGTGAGGAGAACGAAGGGTGATGATGCAGTAGGCAGGAATATGCTGCTGCTGTGGAGGATGATGATGATGAGGGGGAATAGGACCAGTGTAAACCCAAGAGTCATCAACGATGTTGGAGTAAACCCTCCCTCCAATCTCCCTCTTCATAGGCCCTTACAACGGTTCATTTCTATTGATGGAATTGCCCCGTTGGAAGACACCCGTTGGAAGACCCTGAAGCATGCCAACACATTGTTCTCGGGATTCCAACGCCGCGGATCAACTTGACTGTTGCGACTTGACGATTCTGAGTCATGTCTGAACGCTTTTCCTAGGACTTCAACACAGAGAGAGGATCACCGTAACTGTTGTGCGCGCAGATTCCTGAATCCTTCCAGAACGCCATGTCTGATACGTAACCGAATGTGCGCGGCGTCAAGGCGAGAACCACATTTTTGAAAGGACTCGCCCTCAACCCGTAAAATTCTTGCACATGTTCAAAACGAATATGCGCCGCGCTGAGGTGAGAGTCACATTTTGAAAAAGGAACTGCCCTCAATCCGTAAAGCTTTTGCAATTTTTTCCCAGCCATCCTGTGGTGTTGGGTCCTCGTTTTGAAGGGACGGTCCCCGCGTTCCTCTCCTTCCCTTTCCTCGCTTCCTCCTCCCCCTTCTTCCCCTCCTCCCTCCTCCCTGCGTTTCAGCCACCCAATACAGCGTTTCGTGGCCCCATATGGAGCCCCACCGAAGGTCCCGCTGCTACCGTCTGCATGCGTCCCGCACACCCAACACAGCGTTTCGTGGCCCCCTCCTTCCTCCCTGCGTTTCACCCACGCAGTACAGCGTTTCGTGGCCCAATCAGGGGCCCCACCGAAGGTCCCAGTGCTACCGTCCGCATGCGTCCCGCACACCAAGTACAGCCTTTCGAGGCCCCATAGGGAGCCCCACCGAAGGTCCCAATGCTACCGTCCGCATGCGTCCCGCACACTCAGCGCGGGGGGGGTAGCTACTGAGGGGCGGAAAAAAAGGATGGGGGGGGCTTCCGGCAGAAGGGAAGAGGTTCAAGAGTCAAGAGGGGGGGGGGTAGCTAAGCTCCCCAGGGGGGCGGGGTCAGCTTCCGGAGCGCGAAAGGGACGGGGGGGGGAGGGCTGGCTTCCGAGAGGGGGCGGAAAAAAAGAGGGGGGGGGCTTCTGGCAGGGCAGGTCCAAGGGGGCGGGGGTAGCTAAGGGGGGACCCCCCCCTGTCGGAGTGCGCCGCGGGCGCGCTCTCTCCGTATTTCCAGTTGTGCACTCTTCCCGGCAAGGATGTCATCGAGACGCTAGGTGGTGGTAACTTCTCGGGCATGGGCGACTGCGCCCTCGTCGGCTCGGCAGAGCACATGATCGGATCTGGATTCGGCCCTGCCATCGACGCGCACGATACAGTCATCAGAGTAAACAGGCTGCCAAACCAGAGCCACGCGATGGACTTTGGCTCCAAGACGAGCGTCTATTTCACTGGGCACATCAAGGAGAAGAAGGTCACGTACTCCGAAACGGGGATAGCAGCCCAGTACATTGGAGGCGCCACAGAAGCATGCACTGTTGCGACTGGCGTGGGGTGCCCCTTCGCCTCCCTCGTCTTCAACAAGCCGCTGCACAGAGAGGCCCGCATCGTCGTAGATCCCTAGCGGCCTTCGCCGCTCCGCCGGCCCGGGACGGCGGATCGACCGGGAGGGTGCACAGGTGGAGGGTGGGATTTTGGATCGCTCGGGAGGGTGAGCAGGGGAGGAGGAGGAGGAGGAGGAGGAGGAGGAGGAGGAGGAGGAGGAGGAGGAGGAGGAGGAGGAGGAGGAGGAGGAGGAGGAGGAGGAGGAGGAGGAGGAGGAGGAGGAGGAGGAGGAGGGGAGGAGGAGGAGGAGTGAGAGGAGGAGGAGGAGGAGGAGGAGGAGGAGGAGGAGGAGGAGGAGGAGGAGGAGGAGGAGGAGGAGGAGGAGGAGGAGGGTGAGAGGGGAGGAGGAGGGAGGAGGAGGAGGAGGAGGAGGAGGAGGAGGAGGAGGAGGAGGAGGAGGAGGAGGAGGAGGAGGAGGAGGAGGAGGAGGAGGAGGAGGAGGAGGAGGAGGAGGAGGGTGAGCAGGAGGAGGAGGAGGAGGAGGAGGAGGAGGAGGAGGAGGAGGAGGAGGAGGAGGAGGAGGAGGAGGAGGAGGAGGAGGAGGAGGAGGAGGAGGAGGAGGAGGAGGAGGAGGAGGGGTGGGAACCTTTGGCCGCTGGATCGGTTGGGATTTTGGATCGCTTGGTGTGGGATCTTGGGATCTTGGGATTCAGATAGCTCAACATGGCGCACCCTCCAGGGGCCCAAGGCCCGAACCAGATCGAGAGGAGGGAGCCCTCTCAGGTTGTGGTCGGGGGCTTTTCGGTAGTCCCTTGCCGAGTCCGGATCGCCCCTTCCCTGGTCTGGTTAGTTGCTCCTGACGCACCCCTCCCTCTCCTCTTCCTCCTCCTCCTCCTCCTCCTTCTCCTCATCGTCTTTTTCCCAACCATCCAGTGGTATTGGGTCCTCGTTTTGAAGAGACGGTCCCCCGTTCTCCTCCTAGTACAGCGTTTCGTGGCCCCACTGGGAGCTCCACCGACGGCGCACCCCTTACGAAGATCGTGGCCCCATAGTGAGCTCCACCGACGGCGCCAGTGGCAGGGTTCGCATGGCGGCCTCGGGCCATTTCGGCGCACCCCTCACGAGGATCGTGGCCCCATAGTGAGCTCCACCGAAGGCCCCAGTGGCAGGGTTCGCATGGCGGCCTCGGGCCATTCGGGCACACCCCTCACGAGGATCGTGGCCCCATAGTGAGCTCCACCGAAGGCCCCAGTGGCAGGGTTCGCATGGCGGCCTCGGGCCATCTCGGCACACCCCTCACGAGGATCGTGGCCCCATCGGAGCTCCACCGAAGGCCCCAGTGGCAGGGTTCGCATGGCGGCCTAGGGCCATTTCGACGCACCCCTCACGAGGATCGTGGCCCCATAGAGAGCTCCACCGAAGGCAGTGGCAGGGTTCGCATGGCGGCCTCGGACCATTTGGGCACACCCCTCACGAGGATCGTGGCCCCATCGGAGCTCCACCGAAGGCCCCAGTGGCAGGGTTCGCATGGCGGCCTCGGGCCATTTCGTCACGCTTCTCACGAGGCTCGTGGCCCCATAGTGAGCTCCACCGACGGCGCCAGTGGCAGGGTTCGCATGGCAGCCTCGGGCCATTTCGGCGCACCCCTCACGAGGATCGTGGCCCCATAGAGAGCTCCACCGAAGGCGCCAGTGGCAGAGTTCGCATGGCGGCCTCGGGCCATCTCGGCACACCCCTCACGAGGATCGTGGCCCCATCGGAGCTCCACCGAAGGCCCCAGTGGCAGGGTTCGCATGGCGGCCTCGGGCCATTTCGGCGCACCCCTCACGAGGATCCTGCACCCCTCACCGGCAGCAGTCGGCAATACTGCAACTATAAGCCATCATCGTTTGAGAATTCATGAATGCACGAACGACGTAGTTTCACCCACAGTCGGCACTACTGTGGAGCAGCCTCTACTCAACCGGGCCGGACAGGCACGTGTCTTCCGAGGTGGCGGCCTCAGACCTTGTTCGCGGCAGCTCCGGATTGCCACCTGGAACGTTGAGGGTTTCACGGACGCGAAAGAGATCGAGCTGGAATGGCACATGCGCCAACAGAGCATTGACATTTTGTGCATGCAAGAGACTCACAGGGAAATATCAGATTACTGCGTATCGGACGGTGGCTTCTTGTTCATTTTCTCTGGGTCCGCGGACGAGGAGGATAAGGAGACGGCAGGCGTTGGCGTCATCATCTCTCCGCGGCTGCGCTCGAGTGTGGTCGGCTTCAGGCAGGAGTCAGCAAGAATGGCATACGTGAAGCTGCGGGTGCAAGGCGGGAAAGCTATCGTTGGCAGCGCGTACGCGCCACATAACGGGAAGAACTTCGAGGACAGGCAGCGGTTCTTCACATCTCTTGGAGCCTTCCTCGCTCAGACGTCGCGGCACGGCCCGATGATTTTGCTCGGAGACTTTAACGCGCGCCTGCACAGGCCCCACCCGCAAGAAGAGCATATCATGGGACCGCATGAGTTTGGGCACCCGGGGGCTGAGCACAACGCCGCTTCCAACCGCAGCCTGCTGGTTGAGCTGTGCGAGCATCACAAACTCTGCATCGGCCACACAATGTTTCATGAGCCAGCACATCGTCAGGTCACCTGCTACAACGTGGGCAAGAAGCCGTCTCACCCAGACACGCCAGACAATTTTGGCCAGATCGATTTTGTTTTGGTTTCACAGAATTGGGTTGAGCATTTGCAATCAGTGGCAAGCAACAAGGACTTGGCACTGGCGTCTCACCACTTCCTCGTGCAGGCGGACGTGGACAGAATGGTGCCGATCGAGGCCCGCCGCGAGCAACCGACTCGGCCTGACTTGCGGGCTCTCCGGCTGCCAGAGCATGCCAAACGTTTCGCCATGGCCTTTGCCGACGAGATGGAGGCCGCCGACACGGGCGACGGCGGGGCCAACGAAATCGATGCTGCAGCCGTGCTTTCCTTCAAACAGGCAGCCGCCACGCTACCTATAGCGCCGCCGGCGCCGCGGAAGCCGTGGATTTCAGACCGCACCATGACGCTCATCGTGAAGCGCACCGAGGCCAGAACACGCGGCGACCTGGCAGAAGAGAGACGTTGGAATTACGTCGTCAAGAGCTCTGTGAAAACGGATAGGGCGGAGTGTTTGGAACACCTCCTGGCGACGGGCGACTGGGACCAGGTGCGACGATTGCGTAAAGGGGCCGGGCGGAAGCAAGGCAAACTTCGCAACCTTCGCGGCGACCTGGTTGACTCCGAGGTCCGTGCGGACACGCTGGCAGACTTCCTGACGGAGGTGCAGTGGGCCGCGCGCGACACCACGCCGATGTCGACAACGCCCCTTGGCCCCGACTTGCCGGTCAACTTGGGGCAGATCGAAGACTGGGAGGTGACCGAGGCAGCCAAGCGCATGAAGTGGGGCAAGACGTGCGGCAGTGATGGCATCCCCGGCGACTTCTGGGAAGCGGTCGGCGCTCGCGACTCCCAAGCGAGAGCTTGGGCGCTAGCGTTGTGCCGGCGGTGTTGGGACCAGGGCGTCGTGCCAGAATCTTGGCACAATTTCTTAGTGATTGCATTGTTCAAAAAGGGTGACGCCACGCTCTGCGGCAACTGCAGACCAGTGTGCCTGCTTCAGGCCGGGTTCAAGTTGTTTGCGACTCTGCTCCTCCGCCGCTTGAAGGGCGCCGGGGCCGAGGGCCGCATCTGGGGCGCCCAGTTTGGATTCAAATCGCGCCACGGCACCACCGACGCCATCTTCCTCGCCAGGCGGAGGCTGGAGGAAACGTGGTCGAGCGCAGAGGGCCAGCTCGTGCTGCGCGCTCTGGACTGGGCCATGGCGTTCGACAGCGTCATGCCGGGGCTTCTGCTGGAAGCGCTGCAGCGCTTCGGAGTCCCAGGGAAGATGTTGACAATGATTCAAGCCATCTACACGGGCAGGAACTTCGCGGTTTGCGAGGCCGGCGTGACGTCAGGGACCCGCGAGCAGCATGCGGGAATCTGTCAAGGTTGTCTTCTCCCACCCTTTCTCTTCGCCATGGTGATGACCGTGCTGCTGCGCGACGCCCGGGTCACGCTGGGCGACCGCGTGGGGGGCGCGGAGGATCTCGTGTGCGCTGATGACGCGCTCATCGTAGCCACTAGCACGGAGCGCGCGCAGGAGTACATAGCGGCTATTGCTTCCGCTGGCGCGAACTACGGCCTCAAATTCAATTGGGGGAAGCTTGAATTGCTGACAATCCGGTGCCAGGGGAGCGTGACGAGTCCAGACGGCGCCCAGATCCCCAAAAAGGACTCCATGGTTTATTTGGGGAGTGTTTTGGCGGCAGATGGATCGATCGCTTCTGAGCTGAGCAGGCGACTTGGTTGCGCCAGGGCTGAGTTCGACGCCCTTGCCCGAGTCTGGTCTCATTCCACCTTGTCCACACAACGGAAGTTGGATCTTCGAAGCCTGCGTGCAGACAAAGTTGCTGTGCGGATTGCACGCGGCGTGGCTCCGGAAACATGAGTTGGCCAAGCTCGACAGCTTCCGCGTGTGGTGTCTGAGGAGGGTGTTAAGGATACCGCATTCATACATTAGTCGTATCTCGAACGCTGTAGTTCTGGACAGGGCCCGCCGGCCGCCGTTGAGCCGCATCTTGTTGCACCGTCAATTATGTCTTTTTGCGCAGATTGCCCGGCAACCGGTTGATCATCCTGTGCGGCGCGCGGTCTTCCAGCCGTCTTCTTCGGAGCTGCGTCCGCCGGCCGGCAGACGACCCCGGGGCAGACGACTACGAGGATCGTGGCCCCATAGAGAGCTCCACCGAAGGCGCCAGTGGCAGGGTTCGCATGGCGGCCGCGGACCATTCGGGCACACCCCTCACGAGGATCGTGGCCCCATAGTGAGCTCCACCGAAGGCCCCAGTGGCAGGGTTCGCATGTCGGCCTCGGGCCATCTCGGCACACCCCTCACGAGGATCGTGGCCCCATCGGAGCTCCACCGAAGGCCCCAGTGGCAGGGTTCGCATGGCGGCCTCGGGCCATTTCGGCGCACCCCTCACGAGGATCGTGGCCCCATAGAGAGCTCCACCGAAGGCAGTGGCAGGGTTCGCATGGCGGCCTCGGACCATTTGGGCACACCCCTCACGAGGATTGTGGCCCCATCGGAGCTCCACCGACGGCGCCAGTGGCAGGGTTTGCATGTCGGCCTCGGGCCATTTCGGTACGCTTCTCACGAGGCTCGTGGCCCCATAGTGAGCTCCACCGACGGCGCCAGTGGCAGGGTTCGCATGGCAGCCTCGGGCCATTTAGGCGCACCACTCACGAGGATCGTGGCCCCGTAGAGAGCTCCACCGAAGGCCCCAGTGGCAGGGTTTGCATGGCGGCCCCGGGCCATTTCGGCGCACCCCTCGCGAGGATCGTGGCCCCATCGGAGCTCCACCGACATGGCGGCCTCGGGCCATATCGGTGCGCTCCTCGCGAGGCTCGTGGCCCCAAAGTGAGCTCCGCCGACGGCGCCAGCGGCAGGGTTCGCATGGCGGCCTCGAGCCATTTCGGCGCACCCCTCACGAGGATCGTGGCCCCATAGAGAGCTCCACCGCAGGCCCCAGTGGCAGGGTTCGCATGGCGGCCTCGGACCATGTGGGCACACCCCTCACGAGGATCGTGGCCCCATAGAGAGCTCCACCGAAGGCGCCAGCGGCAGGGTTCGCATGGCGGCCTCGGGCCATTTCGGCACACCCCTCACCAGGATCGTGGCCCCATAGGGAGCTCCTCCGTAGGCGCCAGTGGCAGGGTTTGCATGGCGGCCTCGGGCCATTTCGGCACACCCCTCTCGAGGATCGTGGCCTCATAGGAGCTCCACCGAAGGCGCCAGTGGCGGGTTTCGGATGGCGGCCTAGGGCAATTTCGGTACAATTGTCACAAGGGTCGTAGCCTCATAGGGAACTCCATCGAAGGCCCCAGTGGCAGGGTTCGCATGGCGGCCTCGGGCAATTTCGGCGCACCCTTCACTATAATTGTGGCCCTATATGAGCTCCACCGAAGGCCCCAGTGGCAGGGTTCGCATGGCGGCCTCGGGCCATGTCGGCGCACCCCTCACGAGGATCGTGTCCCCATAGTGAGCTCCACCGAAGGCCCCAGTGGCAGGGTTCGCATCGCGGCCTCGGGCCATTTCGGCGCACCCCTCTCGAGGGTCAGGGCCCCGTGGGGAGCTCCACCGAAGGCGCCACTGGCAATGTTCGCACGAGCTCTTCCTGGCAGGACCGCCGGAGGGCTTGCGGAAGCAGCCGGAACAGTTTGCGGCGCGCGGGAGGCGACGGCCCTCGCCAGAGAGCTGCGCTTCACGGAGTTTTTCCGCGAGGCTTGACCTGAGGAGACGCCCGGCCGAACCTCGCCGTCTCTCGACGGCCTGACTGTTTGGCCTTGCGCCGCGGACGACCCGCGCGCGTCGCTGGGACCCTCGCGGGGCGACCAGCGCGCGATGCGGGAACTCCATGCTGCGCTTTGCCCAGCGCCTCGCCCGCCTCCGTCGTCGGTCTGCCCAGCGGCCAGAGCCTTGCCCGCTTTCAGCCAGCCAGCTAGTTGTCTCTGCTCTGCGCAGCGGATCCGCGCGAGTCGCCGGGAACCCTTCGGGGCGACCGGCGTACGCCGCGGGGGCTCCGTGCGGCGCCGCACCCGCGCGTTGGACATTGGCGCGCGCGGGCAAAGAGGGAGAAACAACAACGGGAAGGAAGCGAGCGCGACCCTTGTGAGGGGCGTGCCGACATGGGCGTCGACATTCATGCGCGTAGACTCACGCGCGCGCGGACTCATGCATAATTAGACTCACTCGCGCTCAGACTCGCCCGCTCCCAGTCTCTCGCGCGCAGACCTATTGTCTTCGTTCGCGTTGTGTACCCCGCCGCGCATGTCGGCGCGCCCCTCGCACGGTTCGTGGCCACATAGGGAGTTCGGTCGAAGGTGGTCTTCACCATTGCGGTATTCACAACTGCATATGATTGGGTCTTTCACCAGGCTAATTTTTCAGCGGACTATGACCCTTGGGATTGTAGCATCTTCGTTTTCGTCTTCGGCCTCGTCCTCGTCCTCCTCCTCTTCCGCCCTTCTCCTCCTCCTCGTCCTCCTCCTCCTCTTCGTCCTCCCCCTCCTCCTCGTCCTCCTCCTCCTTTTCCTCCGCCCTCCTCCGCCCTTTTCCTCCGCCCTCCTCCGCCCTTCTCCTCCGCCCTCCTGCCTCTGCTGCCGCTGCTGCTGCTGCTGCTGTTCCTCCTCCTTTTTTTCCGGTTCACCCGGGCAAGCCAGGGTCGGCGGACTTCTGGAATGGCTCGATTTTCCCATGGGGCCAGGCGGCGTGGGAAGCTCAGCAGGGCGCCGTCGACATATTTCAGCAGCGGTGGAACTACGCCAGGAAGCCGAACCGGACAGATTTCCTGGAACCCACCAGCGGATTCACCGCGATCGTGCTCTTTGTTCTCGGCGCTTCGCGGCGGCCCCGTGGCATTTCCAGGGGACGTTGGGGAGGGAGAGGGGTAGTAGGGAGGCGGAGGGGGGGAATGATTGGGGGAGGGGAGGATTGTACCCTTGGGTGGCAGGGCCCCTGTAGAACTGGCGAACAGGGTTGACATATCATGCAATATGTTTTCATATTTTCAGTGTTAATGCCGCCACGTGTCAATTTCGGGTCCATGTTCACCGTCCTTTTCCCATGCCTTCTCCGTGCTTGATCACACTTACATGCATACATGTATGTATGCGTGAATGCATGTGCATGTCTGTATGCATACGTACCCACGTACGTATGTATGTATGTATGTATGTATGTATGTATGTATGCATGCATGCATGCATGCATGCATGCATGCATGTAGGTACACATGTATGCAGGTAGGTCCGTCGGTGTATAGGTATGCATGTATACATGTATCTATATGCATGCATGTAGGCACGTAGGTATGTTTTTGAGTACGCACGTATGTATGTATTTGTCTTTGACTGTTTTGTTCTGTGGCGGCGAGGCGGTCTCAGGCCAAAGGTCCGAGGGGGATTTTTGGGCGTCTCCGTAGTCGCTCTTGGTCCAAGCTCGCATGCACTGGCTTGCAGGGCAGCTCGGCGGGACGGGCTCCGCCTTCGCCGGCGCGTACCTCGGCGCCTCCACCGCGAGCACCCATTGCTCGTGCCATTTCGAGTCCAGCCCCGTGGACGAGGGGCTCCTGACAATCCTACGGGCGCAGCTGGACCGCTGCGGGCCCGAGCGGCTGCACGCCGCGGCGGCGCCTGTGTGCGCCCAGCCGGTGGGCGGCTTCTTGGTGGCGGCTGGCCTCGGGCTGCTGCTGGGCGTGAGCCTCACCCTGGGAGCGCAGGCCGCGCTCCGCCCGCGGGCCCCGGCTGCGGCCCAGCCTGCGGCCGCCGGCCGTGCCCCGGCGACTCCGCCGGCCCAGCAGGAGGGGGCTGCCTTGACGCCGTCCACGCTGCGGCGACTGCGAGATGGCGACAACACTGGACTCTGATATCATCCAGATCCTGGTGGACTACGTCAACGATCCCAATATATTATGGCATCACAGACTGTTGCTCTTCGAATTGGGGCCGGGGCGGTGGGTATGCGCCACCCCAGATTTTTCAGTGCAAGTCATCGACTTGTCTCAGCACCGCGTGCTGCCCCTGGCTCGGGCGGCGCCGTGGCCTGCACAGGTGCGCGGCAATGTGTACGGCTTCGACCCGCTCACGGCCGACCAGCGGGACGACCTCTTCCTGCGGGGCGGCCAGCTCGCCCGCGTGCTGGGCCACCAGCCTGGCAACACGGCGGCCGCCGCCGACCGCCAGTGGCGGGTCTCCGACACGGGCCACGAGAAGTTCAACGAGGTGGTCGCGGACGGGAACATGCTGGGCGATCGCGCGGTCGTGAAGGGCGACACCGGGCTGTACTGCATCGACGAGGGCGCCAGCGAGTGGGTGTCCGTTCAGCGCGTGCGGGTCCGGGACCACGACGCCTGGCTGGAGAAGAAGCGCAGCGGCCCGGGTCGGGACTTGCGCATTCTTCCTGTGCATCGCGACGCGGGTGGCAAGAGAGTGATGCTGCTCCGCGAGTCCATCAACCTCTTCCGCGAGCCAAAGTTCCCCGACTGGCCGTTCGAGGGGCCCTCGGCCGCCAAGGAGGTCTTGGGCGACGTGGCCGCGGCGGGACTGGAGCTCCATCTGTACCCGACGTGGTGGGAGAGCAAGAGCGGGGTGAACCCGACGGGCAGCGTGGCGCGGGAGGTGCGGCTGGCCTTCGACTACCTGAGGATGCTCCAGGCGTACGACCAGGCGAACATGGTGTCCTTGGCGGCGGTGGAGCTGATCTGCCGCCGCATCGTCGTCTGCCAGAAGGCCGTGCGGCGGAACCCGAAGGCGCCGGACTTCACTGGCCTCGAGCGCTTCGTGCTCTCCAACTTCGACGAGTCGGGAGGACTCAAGACGACGGAGTTCGACAAGTACATGGCGGAGCAGCAGAAGGCCAGCGCCGTGGTGCTCAAGAGTATGCGCCAGGACGTCGAGGAGCAGGAGAACGAGAAGAAGAGGCAGGCCGGTCGCCAGCAAGGCGGCGGCAAGACGGGCAACGGCTAGAGAGACGCGGGGGCGGCGACGGGCCCGAGCCGGTATCGCGGGGCTTGGGCGGTTCGGCGGCGCCCCCTTCTTCGAGGCCGTGTGCGGCCTCCACTGACCGCGAGGTTTTGTCATCGCCCTGCGATGCGTTCCCCTTGCCGACGGGCTCCGCGTTGGACATGTTCGGCGGGGGTGATCGGGCGGCTTCGCGCCGCCTCCCGACTCGAGCGGGCGACGAGCCCTCAGCAGCAGCCCTCGTGTCAGACGCGGTGGCGGCGCTGAATGGCCTGGCGTCAGCGCGGATCGGCCGACCACTGCAAGTGCGGCGGTCGCGGCCAGCAGAGCGAGAGGTCACGTCGGCTCAGCAGTCGATTCTGGACCGTGTCGCGGAGCGGGTAGACGACCAGTTTCCTGCCCCTCCAGATGCTAGTTTTTCTTCGGCGCTTCCGGACCTCCTGAAGTGCGCGGACATGTATTTGACGAGCGAGTCCTCCAGCCGGGTCCCCATCCAGCTGGAGCGGCTCAAGATTTTGCAGAACAATACGATGCCCAAGGAAGCCCTGGATGTGGTCGGCGCGGACGCCCGCAAGCTGCTGGCGGACCCCTGGCGCTGCATCGAGCGGCGGGCCAACGACGTGGAGGCGGACGGTCCACCTCCTCGGCCATACACCGACCCCAGACTTCGGTTCAGCCGCAAGCTGATGAAGGAGCTTGTGCTCACCCTCCACCGGGGCAACCTCGTGGTCTTCCGGCCCTCGGTGAAGGCATTCATCGGCCTCTTCACGGTTGTCAAGAAGGACGGCTGGTGGCAGCGGCTTATCGTCGACGCCCGCGTGCCGAACCATTGGCACCGGCGGCCGCCGCACTCGTACCTGGCGACGCCGGGAGCGGCTTCCGCTCTCGACCTGAGCGATGCCGCGCTGGAGCCTGGGGCCGCTGGCTCGCTTGAGCTGTGCGGCGCCGCTGTCGACCTGCAGGACGGGTTCTACCGGCTGAGCTTCAAGGTGATGAGCGACTGGTTCGGCATCGATTGCCGGATGACCGCTGCCGAGGCGGGGATCACGCGGGTCTTCGACGTCGTGGACGGGGTCGGCACCTGGCTGCCCGTCGCGGCCAAGGACCCCGTGTGGCCGTGTTTTTGTGGCGTGCCCATGGGGTGGACCTGGGCGCTCTTCATCTGCCACTCAGCCCTGACTGACGCCATGGTCGAGTCCCTCGTGCGCGTGATGCGCTGCGATCGCGGTCTGGCCGAGGCTCAGCTGCTCCGCGACGGGCAGCCCGCGCCCCGGCTGGCCAAGGGGCGCCCGGTCGCAGCGCCGTACGTGGACAATGGGAACTTGTTGTGCTTCGACCACGAGGATGCTGCCGTGTTCTACGGCTCGATGGTGGCCGTCCTCAGCGAGCGGGGCTTCACGCTGCGGGACAACGTGGAGTGCGACGCGAACCTCGACATGGTGGGGTTCGAGCTGCAGGGCGCCAAGTTCGTCTGGAGGCAGCGGCGGTCTCGGTTCTGGCGTCTGTGGCACGCGCTGCGGCAGCTGGAGCTCCGAGGCGGCTGCACGGGGGAGGTGATGCGCATCATCCTCGGCCACCTGGTCAACTTCTTCATGCTCTCGCGGCCCGCCCTCAGCGTGTTGTCGCAGTTGTATGTTTTTAGCACTGAGAACCTCGGGCGCTACCGACGGTTTGACGGCCATGTTCGAGGGGAGCTGGTCACCTGCCGCGGCTTGTTAGCCCTCGTTCGCAGTCGGCTGCGGCCGCACCATTACCCAGTCGCTTTTTGCTCGGATGCCTCGACGCGGGGCTACGCGATCCACAGTGGGCAGATCGACCCCCACCTGCTGTACGACGTCTGCCGCTGGCGAGAGCGCTGGCGATTCACCGTCGCGGAGGAGGACGAGGGGCCCGGCATCGACGGGGCTCAGACCGGCCTGGACGCCGACTTCCGCGAGCTGGGCGCCGACCTGGACATCGAGGACGGCGACTGGGATCGGAGGGGCGACCGCGCAGTTCCTGTGCGGCGCGCCCCGCGGGTCAGCAGCCTGGTGCCAGCCGAGGCCCTGCGGGCTGCCGAACTCGGCCTCCCGCACCCCAGGGTCACGGGGATCGTGCCCGCGCTGCCGGACACGCTGGTGGCGCCGACGCGCTGGCGGCGGCTTCTGGTTGGCGCTTGGCAGCGCCGCGAGGCGATCCACATGAAGGAGGCGAGGATCGCGCTGGTGGGGCTGTACCACGCCGTCCGGGACCCTGCCAGCCACGGAGGCGTGGTCTTGTCGCTGGGCGATAACCTCTCGGAGGTACTCGCCACCGAGCGGGGCCGGGCGCATGACCCCGCCCTCAACTCAGTGTGCCGCCGGGCAGCGGCGGTCGAGCTCGGAGCCGAGGTGCGGTGGGTTCGCCGCTACGTGGAGACGGACCGCAACCCCACGGACTCGGACTCCAGGCTCGCGGAGCAGGGGATCCTGGCGCCGGGCGAGTCGCTGCGCGGGGGCCGCCTTGCCGCCCGGCTGGGGCGCCTGCGCGAGGGCGCGTGCTGCCCCGACCGCGTGCCCGATGGCGCCCCGCGCGCCGCCGCGAGCTCGGCGGCGGCGCCGGCGCCTCCCGCGGGCCCCCAGCGCCGGCCACTGTGGCCTGGCGCACGGGGGCCGTCGCGTCGGCGCGACCGCGCTGGGGTGCTGGAGATCTTCGGCGGGAGCTGCAGGTTCTCTGGCGCGTGCGCGGCGGCTGGCCTCCGCATCCTGTGCCCTGTCGATGTCTCGGCCGGGCCGCACTTCAACGTTCTTAGCATCGCTGTTCAGCAAAAGATACTGCATTGGATTTCTCACGGATATGTCTGTCATGTACACATCGCTACCCCGTGTGCCCGCTGGAGTGTAGCCAACAC